TTTCCATAAGGATGGATGGGTGCCAGTTTTAATGGAAAGAGAAAAAAGATGTTCAATTTGATCGATTAAAAATGGGACACATTTTTGTAAGAACGTAACCGGTATATTATCAGGTCCCGAAGCTATGCCACTTCTTAAACTACCGATAGCATCTAAGATAGTCTGTTTACTTGGTGGAGCAATACTAAATGTATCATTGATAAGATTCAATGGACAAGGACACGGAATGGAGTACTGTTACTACGGACTGACGTGATAGAAAACATGCCGCTCTTACTTATTGAATTAAATATTTACTTATTGAATTTCGTTATTTCCGAAATAGAAATATTTTGTTATCAATAGATAGCTGAAGACGTGCTGGTTCTGAATATCTGCTTTGATATCGCGTACCATAATTGAGTAAGCAAAGAATCTTTATTTCGTATGTAGTAACGATATCCGTACTCGGTTTTGTGTACCGTGATTTCTCGTCGTAAGAACCATTTTCAAAATAGACATTTATATACCATTCGATAGCCCTTTGAAAGGGCTACGTTTTCCACTATTTGTATTTGAATTAGGAGCAATTTCGATTTTTCACCTGGATGCCAACTGTGATGACGGGTGGTCTGTTTCTGTTAATGGGTGCTGATTTCGAATTGATTCTTTAAATGAATGCCAAAGCGGATTACCTAATGGAGATAAATACTTCATTGATACTGTTGGCATGTAACGAACAGAAAATAAAATCAATATATTTGTGCGCGAATCGACACAGGTCATCAGCAACATGTGTTTATAACAAACTGGGTTCTTTTCAAACTTTCCGTTGGCAGAAGAGCTGCACCTTATTTTATTATTCCGATAATCATGATAGGTAGAGCGCTGCATAAATATCAACAATAGACTATTCGATCACTGATTGAAATCTTATTGCATATTAATATACATACAAAAGTAACAAAGACGGAAAATTCAGATCGCTTGCACTTTACATTGGACTAAAAAGTATATCACTTTTATAGGATGCGCTATAGTTTCGATCTAATCAGAAAGCCTCTATCGAGTAAAGAAAAAATTTGAAGGATGATAAATCTTCCAAATGAAACTGTAGAACAAGAACAAGTTCGAAGTAGTATGAGCTTTTAAATATGAATAATTATTCTTATCGACTTTTGCTGCATGTGTTCGCTTCTTCCGTATCAAAGCCACTAAATTTGGTATTAGTATAGTTAACACAACGCTGAGATCACCAATTATTATTAATACATAAACAATATCCAGTTTTTCAGTATATGTATATGTGCATTTGCTTGGTTGACATTTATAATATGAACCGAATGAGATGGATGGATTCCATTGTTCAATTATTAGATTATTAACAATCTTTTCAATAGTTGTTTCTGGTTTACATTGACTATTGTTTAAAGATGAGTATAATGTTTAAAATTTCTATTAGAATGTGTTTTATTCATGTGGTAGCGAAAAGTATGGAAACATGTTTTATTATAAAAGCATTCTAAAGTTGATTCTAATAATGATTCAATAATATAACAGTCAGTCATAATCAGTAATCTGATAATTAGTATGTACTGATGAATAGAACTGATAAGCAAGAGTGGTATCTCGTATTAATTGTAATAATCTTAAAAACGTATTTCTCATTTGGGATTGAAACTGTTCAATAAAAGACAGAAACTGAAGCTGAAATACTTTATTCGATATTAAACTTGAACATAAATAGAATCGTGATAATGGATGCCCTATTTTCAGTTACATACTTATACCATTCATCGGAAACAAATTGACTTGAGCATATCTGATAGTATGTCGGGGATAATTAGAGAAATGTTTCGTATGTTATTGAAGTTTTTGCGCAGGGACAGTTTAAAGTTTGTGAATATGTGGAGTATAAAGTATCATATTGTTTCATAGCTGGCGTTTTTACCACGACTGTACGTGGAGCATTATTGAGTGATGCATAGAATGCAACTACAGTTAATGATGCGAGGAATATTACAATGAATAAACACGTTGAGATACTTTGATTTTGAACTTCATGTTCATCGGTTGATGGTGATTTCGGTTTGAAAATGTTAAAGCATTTTAAATATACTATTGCTCATTTAGATAAATTATACAGTCTTTGTCGTATTGGTATTACTAGAAATAAAGCTTAATTAGTGTAAATCAGAAACACTGCGTCTCAGTCAAAACGATTTTGATCTTACCGAATCTGATACAAACTATGCAACTTATTTGCAAAATGGTTTAGCATCTACTTTACAAAACCTAAAATGGTTTAATAATCAAACATTTAATTCCGACGAGAGAAGTATAATTGTTTTTACTTTCACCATGCTTTAGCCGGTTTTGTCTTCAGGAGTATGATGAAAGCTTGTTTTGTTCTTCGTGGTGATAATGCTGATGACGTTATCTTAAGGTGTATTTGTTTTTTGATTGATTTATGAAGAAGCCTACTCTTACTTCAAACGTATCGCACTAAGATCTAATAACCTCAAAAATATGCCAAAAAAATTAGCTCAAAGATACCAGTTACGAGATTGTCTACATTTGTCAAAATGTCGATGGTGAAATTAGTGGCGTGCGAGCAGGGGAAGTGCACGAATTAAGCGAAGCAGTGAAAATAGTTTTGGCTGACAAATACAGGCAACAAATAACACACTCGGCGGTAAATCCATATAGATCCTGTCACCATTACATCGATTTAAAGTGCAGAAGACAAGAAACAATGAAAGAAAATATTCTCGTATTGATTTTGGTCGTCTGTGGAGAAAGGCGGAATTATCTCAGTTAGCTGAAAAAGAGCAAGGAAGAAAGTGAGTGACAAGCTCAACATTTGATACGCTTTCAGATTGTTTTGCAGTCTATGATTGATCATGACGTTGAAGGAGAGCAGCTATCAATGAACCACTACGAACGCTTTCATGGGTCCGAAGTTGCCGTTTGAACGCGTTTCAACTAAAAAGTTTTTGAGCACACTATAAAAGAAGTATGTAAATAACACATATAAAGCGAACGCCAAGTCGATTCCCAGTGACCGGCTAGGATGTATGGCGTAGAAGCGACCGTCTAGCTTTACACATTGAGACCAACGATATAATTTAGTTATCTAAACCGACTGTGCTCAAAATGCTTCAGATTCACTAATCGGTTGTTTCGAACCTCACTAATGGTCGTGTTCTGTTTTCGTTTTTTCTATGTTATCCATCTTGGCTGAAAATGACAGTATATATACTTTCGAATTTGGTGATCACTTTTCTGAAATTATTTTTTCATTTGATGCAGTAGTTCATGAGAAAAATGGAAAATAATAAAAAATTTTAACACACTGAGATTGGCCGTCTGGGGAAAGTACACACTTTTCGATGCTAAGTGAATCTTTAGACGATTTACACACTTAGTAATACACATTTTTTACAGTGCAAATGGTCTTCATTCTTGAATAGTGTTTTCTTTTGGTCACGTTATGATTTCATATTTCAGTCAATAAAATTCACGCCTGTTAACCAGCATGAAACATTGATTACATATCGTCCCGTTCCAGCTGTATTCCAGTACTGTCCAAATAGCTTTGTAAATCCAACATCAACCACCACTCTTCCTTTTCTGTCCCCGATACCGCGACAAAGGATGCAGGAATGACCATTTGTTGAAGTTGCTAGCACTTGTAGTTCAGAATGTTGTGTCTTTGGATAACATATTGTTATTCCTTCATACAATGATTCGATGCCAGCCATGATTAAATGATCTTGTAGAAAATGACCAGAGACAAATGCGTCAGGGCTTGGCTTCAATGTGCCATTACCGGGCGTATTTCCTTCTAAAAGGTATTCGGAACCGAATATCGCTTGCAATGCGATATTCGTCTTATCCATGGATGCAATATCATTCTCGCCAAACAGGAATAGACCGTTACCGGAGTTGTGATAGTTTAAAATCGCGGTTGAAAAATGTTCAATTAATGCGGGCGGTGAACGATAGCTAATTATCCAAGCTACAATGTAATCGCCACTATTCAGTTTTTCTAAAAAGTCATCTTCCTTCTCGGTAATATACCAGTCGAAACCTTTTTGATCTAATGTTTGACCAACATGCTGGATGAACGATTTTAAAGTAAAACCCTCCCCGGCATAAAATTTCCCAATTAGTACTCGAAACGGGTACATTGAACCGTCCTGAGCCAAATCATACTGAGAACCCACTGGATTACCAAACAAATCAAGCGGCGAATCTTTCGGAGGTCGGATACGGCGAACCACACGTGTTCTTGGTTCTTTGGCACATCCATCGTCTTTATAACTGGCAGGCGCTTTACATTGACTTCGATAGCTTTTTCTCTCATTTGAAAAGCCAGTGGCTGATGTGTAACGAATTTGCGTGCCAGCTGCCTCATCTTCCAAACGTTTTCGTTCTTGATTCGTAATTCCTTTTCCGAGTTCTTGATCATCACTCGTATCATCAACTTGTTCTTGAATCTGTGAAATACCTTGATGAGTCCATGTACTCGGATAACGTATCTGATTCGATCCGTCTCGACCACGTCCTTTTTGCTGGCTAATACCAGCCTCAATTTCTAACCGTTTCCGTTCTTGATTAGTGATTCTTTTCTCTGGTGGGTCATCGACTAGTTGTCTCATTTCCAGTTGTTTTCGCTGCTGATTGGTTAATCCAGGATTCTTTTCTAATTCTAACATTTTTAGTCGCTTTTTCTCTTGATTAGTCATCACCACCAGTGCATCCCCCGTCACTGATGCTTGATCGAATTTATCGTTTTCAGCTGCCATACTAACTAAATTATCAACAGTTGTTTTAAAAGAGTAGAATCGTGAATAATAAAACGAAAAAACAGATTTTTGTCGTACGATATATATATATATATATATAAATACATATTATTGCCAAAATGTATGCCAGAACCGTAATTGCATAACGTTTTGGCAATAATATTTGCGCTCGAATGAATGTACCCGTATATATAACGCTTCATCGTTGTGATAGAATGTTTTCGTTTCTTTATTTTTACCCTGTACAGTTTTGCTTACCAGCTAGTCCAACCGAAACGGAATAACGTTTTTTCACTTTGTTTCGTCAATATCCCAACGAAATCAAGTTATCTTCATAGAAAGATCCTGAAAAATGGTCCGTTACTGATGTACAAATATGGCTAGAGAAACATCAAACTCTTGAGGAGTAAACGGAAATTTCTTGCGCAGAAAAACCGAGTTTTTCAGGAGTTCTTGTGGAGAAGCGTCAACTTTTGGACTCGAAAGGCTACAGTTCTTGTGACAAAGCATCGAGTTTTGGACGAGAAGAGATGAAGTGAAAAGCTTTATGAATCTACGCTTTCCGCCTTTTTTTCAAAACATAAAATTCACTAGGTTTCCCCTTCTGCTCCATCAAAGTCGAACAGAACAGCGTTTTTTGGGGTAAATTATCTGTTCAGAAACTATCGAACAAAAAAAAAGTGAGTTCAACTTGTAATGGTGACTTCTGCCTTACTCATCACACTTTTGTATTATGCAATTTTGGAATCTAACTGCGATGAAAAATTCAGCATTATTTTGTGCTAGGTTTTATTTTGATTTCAACTCCTGCAGTCTAAATGAACATGTATACATACTGTGAGTGTTTTTCGTATAAATGTAGCGACGATGATTACAGTTATAATCGAAAGCTCTTGTTTTAAATTTCATTCGAAATAGTTGATCTTAAAATTATAGATTTGACATAAAATATCCCATGAGGTTTTTTTTCGATAAAATATCGTGATTAGAAGCCACGCCGGACATTACCAACACTACAACTATCAGACCGTCTACAGCAAGACCGCCAGAGAGTGACTGTGAAATCATCCAGTACAATCAAAGTACAAATGTTATTCTGTCCTTAGTTATCCTATCCATTGCACTTCTCTATGTGTGAGTTCAAAGATACGATGCACACAATTTTGTTTCATATGAAACTAAAATAAGCGATACAGAAGCGGATTAGTATTGTTGTTCAGGAGACGATAAAGAGTTGGGTCTTATTAGTGTTTGTTCTTCATGCTTTGTTAAGAAGCAGATTTTTATTAGGAGTCTATGCAAAGACTGAATACAAGCTGACAGCATCGATGACATTTTCACAATAGTACCAACCAAAAAATCTTTTTTTAATGTCATTTTATAACGACTACATGTGGAAAAAAGTGAATTTTTAAAACGTCATGCTTGTTATTAAAGGTCAAATAAAATCTAGTAGATTATACGACGGAAACTTTGAATATTGTGCGTTTTGTAGTTCTGGCATTTCTACATCTATTGAGCGCTTAGTTTTGGCTCGAAAGATGCAGGTCATCGTCGAAAATTTGAAATACTTATTCAGGCACAGATAAAATGCTCCTATTTTATAATCTGAAGTTAATTCCTTATGGATGCCTCTGTTTTCTTTCCTTTCTTTGCACGCCATCACACAGCCGGTAAGACGTCGACGAGTGTGTAGTACTGTCCTTATGACATAGACGATACCGACGAACCTGCCAAATCTTTATCTTTCCATTTTAAACAAAATATTTCCGGGAAAACTAAAGCTGAAAAACAGTTGAGGAACAGCGCTACTGTCACCATACCTTGGCTTGGAGAACTTGATAAAGTAACAACCAAAAACTGTTAAAAACACGTTTCTAGTTGTTATAGACAGAGATAGAGAGCGACGCGAGAACAGGTGTTTTAGATGAAAAACTCCTTGAACCCAACTTATAATTTTGAG